GGCAGGGAGGTGGATAGGACAGCCACAGCACAGTCTTAGACTTGCTATACAGACTGGCACTGTGCCTTTAGAGGCGTGTGTAGAAGCATCAGCAGTGGCTGAGATTAGAAACCTGAATTTATTGCCGCAGTTCCTTTGACAAAAGTGGAGAATGGGACTCAGACCTCTGTTTCTTGGGTGAAGTTTTACCAGTTCATGGAAGTCCAAACTGCCGGTGTCTCCAGCTTTTCCACTAATTTTCCATTTGAAGGAGCAAGTTCCTTTCTTTGCAATGTCTCTTTCTGTGATTCTAAAATCAGAATAATGATTCTTACTATGTAACCCAGCACTGTAGGTTTCAGCTTACTGCTTGTAAGAGCTTTAATTTTGTTTGAGACAGGTAAAGTCTTGTCTGTTGGGATACATGGCCGTATGCACATCCCTATTACAGAAATAGCAATGTGTTTCCAATCAGAGAAATGTGACTTTCATGTTTCTTGTCAGTTACAGCATTGTCATCTTTTATTTGCCTTAATGTCCCCCTCTCCTAGCTTACTTCAGCCCAACGGATGGCGCCAAGCTCCTGAGCACAGACCAGCGCAGTGAAATCAGGGTATACTCATCTTCAGACTGGGCCAAGCCACAGCATCTGATCCCACATCCACATCGGCAGTTTCAGCACCTCACACCTATTAAGGTGAGTTAGTGCAGTCTGAGAGGAGTATCCCGCTTGGTGCTAGCAGCCGGCTCTAAATCAGAAATGGTCCGATTTCTGGTCAGGGTGGATGTTTTGAGGATACCCATGTTCTTCAGGCTGTGGGTGGGATGTACAAACTGTTGCTCACACTGCCGGTTGCCTGGTGGGTGTCAGTATGAGCTCTGTCCCTTTCTCTTAACTCCATGTCACTCTGCTCTATGACTAGGCAACATGGCATCCTCGCTATGACCTCATTGTCGCAGGTCGCTACCCAGACCCTAAGTTCCCAGGGTACACAGTGAATGAGCTACGAACTGTTGATGTATTTGATGGAAACACCGGGGAGATGGTTTGTCAACTCCATGATCCAAATGCTTCTGGTATCATCTCGGTGAGTTGAGCGCTGCAGCTAAAAGGACCACTGTGTATTGAACCACAGCCAAGAGATATGGGTTAGGGACTAGAACAATAGGAGTATCCTCTTTACTTGTGACAGACTCATGCTCTTGTGGGGGTATGGCTGCCCGCTAAAGCTGCTGACTCGAGCAGGTCTGGTCCATGGTCACCTGTGGGTTTTCTGTGACACTCTTTAGGGGACATTGGGTTTTCCAGATGGTTTGTTGCTGTTACATAAGCCGTGGTGCTCTTATGACTCTGTTACATAAGGAGTGATGCTCTTACAGACTCTCATTGTGTTTCCATTTTCAGCTCAATAAATTTAACCCTATGGGAGACACACTGGCTTCTGGCATGGGTAAGTAAAGAGAACCGCGGGCATTAAGGACAGGTGGGTTCCAGTCCTAGAAAAGGGCAGGCTTGTTTCTCCAGACTAAAGCAAGTTGTGAATGAGGGTTTCCCAAATCCCACTTGCTAGCGGTCCTCTATAATTTCCTACATCTGTAAAAGAGATCAAGATTTTCTTTTCAGTCTTATGCCTCTACAGTTAGAAAACAGGTTGCTAGTCATCTGTGAAACATTCCTGAGAGCACGAAGTCTGGAGGAGTGAGAAGCCTCCCCGCAGCAGGGAGCCGCTGCCATCTGCCGGCCATGGAACAGCAGCAGAAAATAATGGGAGGGGAGAAGCTTTTTCTTGCTAGGCTGTGCCCTCTCTCTTCATTTAATTTATCTCATTTCCTAGGCTGAAGAGGCAAGATGACTCAGTTTTTTGCAGGCTGTATGGGATTAAGGGATCTGCCTATAGATTTAAGTCTTAGACCCATGACAGATGAGATTAGGAATTACTTGATTATGTTTCTTAATTAGATCAAATTTCTGCAGCTGTGCGGAGATAGTGTCTGCAATAAATGTCTTTGGATCCTCTGTACCTTGGAAATGTCTTAGAACAGACAAAGCATTTTGAATTTCTGGCATTTTAGTGACATAGCCTAAGGTATTATATTTGATGTAGAGTTTCTGATGCACAGTGTTTAATTTTCTGTCTCAGGCTTTAATATTCTGATCTGGAGCCGGGAGGAGATGGTGGCCAAGAAGCAAGAACATCTTTTGAAAGCCATGACAGAACAGGGGATTGGAAGCTGGAGTTTGTCCAGACGTGGAGGGCAGAGGCAGGCAAACCCTGGGACAAGCAAACTCAAAGCTAACTTACTGCCTTGGGAGCTGGAGGAGATGAGGACAAAAAGCAACGATTCTAAATCACAGGGAAGGAAGCGAAAAGGGAAGGATCTATAGAACTGATTTAGTATTTTGATCCTTTCTGGATCACAGGGTACAAATTCAGTGTTGGCAATGGGCAGTATAAGCCGTGCAGGGCATTAGGCTTCTACTTTGTCCTTCCTCCCTGGATCTGATCTTGCTTCCCTGATTCCCTTTGCTTCCCCTTCTAGAAAGTTGTGTCAGTACCCAGTTCCTCCTCCAAGTGGAGTTGCCACCCTTTTTTGGAGGCACTAGGAAAACTTCAAAGACGTTCTCAGGTCCTGCTAAAGTTCCTGCTTCCAGCCTGCCACATCTGCTTGCTTGTCATCACCTGTCAGAGGTTACCATCTCCTGTAGTTTGCTGTGGAGCAGCTGATGGCAGGGTCTCCAGCCTGTTCTTGTCAAACTGAGCAGAGAAACCCTTTGCTAACAAAGCTGATGTCCTGAAAAGGTAGACACTGTTCACAGGGGTGAGGGGCGATGGGTAGCTTGGGTAGCCTAGGGAACACCAACCTCTCCTGTATGCGAGCTTCTTGGAAAATGTGCATCTGTCAAGACCTCAGGCTTAGCCTCTGCTGTGCTTGCAGCTACTTAACTAGATCACAAAGAACATGATGCTGCCAGAGCTCTTTACCTGCCTCAGGGGATGCAAGGGCAGTATGCAGCTGGGAATCTACTGATGCTGTAGTTACTGTTTTCAGAGGTCTTGGCTTTTTCATGCCACTGATTAAGTAATCTTTTTCACCCATGCCTATGTGCTTCAGGATGTTGGATAGAAGTGTTGTAAAGCAGAAATGAGGAATTTCTTCCAAACACCCATGCTCGGAGCCAAATCTCAAGACTGCTGTTAAACTGAAGTTTTGCTTTTTCTAGTTTGTTTACAAGGCTGTCTGGGGCCTCAGTGCTGTCCCAGAGGTTGATGGATGGGACAGGCTCCAGGCCCGCTCAGATTCTCTATGTTCACTTTTATAGTTTCGCAGTATTGGTATTAATAAAGTTTTGTACTAAATTGAAATCCTTCTTTGATACAGAGTGGCTGCTGTGAGCGTTCTGCTGAACGGCTTTTGTAGGGGGGAAGAAGTTATTGACCTTTCTGCAGGAGGGCTAAGAGACCTAGAACAGTGGTGGCAATATCAGCCATAGCAGTGTGACTACAACAGACCCTTCCACGTTGGATGGGTTGCATTATAAGCTGTATCTACACATGGTTGCTGCAGTCAAAAATAGTTTGTCTTCATTCTTCCGCTGCTGTAAGTGGGATTGTAAATCAGGGATTTACTTTGGGAGGGGGTATACTGCGTAAGTTCTCCCTGTTCTCCAACACTGAGCACATTGGTGCTAGCCCTGTGAACTCTTAGAGAAAAAGAGGAGTAGAGTTCAGTGTGAATTTGATTTTAATAATGAAAAGGAAATGTATTGGAACAATTACAGAAAGTCATTCACAGTCAAAATGTCTAAATCATCATAGAAACATGTGCTCTGCATGTGCAAAATTTGCTCCCTTTAAAAATAACAGGTCTGGTCGTCCTAAATGCACTTTCTATTACCTCTTTCTTGTGCCTGTTCTCATAGGCAGTAGCTTCTCCTTTATGACTGTCTTGCTGTGCAGGAGACCTAGATTATATCTTCAGAGGACAAAAAGGTGATAAAGATGCTGAGAACAGCAAGCTGCTTCTGCTGATTTAGAGTTCCCATGCTAGTAGATGCCGATTATGATGTAGGGAA